AATTACCATCCTCTCCGTCTCCTTCTGCTTCATATACTTTTTCTTCTTCAGATTCTTCATTTCTGGGAACAAATTTCTGTTTTTTCGAAATAAAATGTTGTTTCTTGGAATCTGATTTATGAGGGTGTTTTCTTATTCTATTTTTGGGTTTAAGCAACAAGTTTCTGGAGCTCAGCATTGTTGTGATATCGTGGCGTGGGCTGAAGGCGGCGGAAGAGGTGGTCCGAGCCGCCGAGAGCTAAGGATGTGTTTGTGTTCTGTTTAAAGAGTTGGGACTTTTGAGCGAAGTAACGTGTACACTTGTTTGTGCCATTATTACGGTTAAAATTATAAGTAAATAAAAACTTATTTTACAACAAATAAATTTTCTTCTTTTAAACTCACTTTTAAAAATATTTACAAAATACACCCTATATTACCTCATAATTATAATTTGCATACCCGCATTTTATAAATTTATATTTTATACACAGTATTTTACATAATAGTAGTAAAAGACAACATTTGCTAGTGAAAAATAGAAAGAAAAATAAATATATGTCATTATAAATAACTGAATCGACAACAATACCTTGAATTAAAATATCAAATCACACCCTATGTATGTTATCCATAACAAAAATACCCTTTATTATGTTTTCCCTTAAACTCTGCATAAAATTAATTAAATAAATTAGGACAATTTTGAAAATATAGAAAACACGTCGTTTGACTCTTTCAACATTGTAAAAATAAATAAAAAATCATCATTTCTATACGCTAATTAATATGGTTATTAGCACAAAACGTTTATATGTTTGGCGTTCAGTGTTCAAAATTTCGCATACGATTCAATTTTTTTGCATTTTCATCTTTATTTACACGTTTCATTATGGAAATCATCATTTTCATTCATTTTCTCAATAAAAATTGCAAAACAACAAGTATACCCTCATATTTAAATAAAAAAAAAATAATAATAATAAAGAATAAATTGTAACCATACTCTCAATTTTTTCAATAAATTTCAAATAAATAATTAAAAAACAAAAAATCATTTTCTTTCCTCTTTTCTCTTCCACCACCACCATTTACCACCACCGTCGCCACCTTTGTCGTCATGAAACCGTCAATCAACTGTGGGAAAGATGTGAA